GATATACATATAATTGCTATATCTTCCTGATGAATTTGCCTTATCATTTTATTATAAACTTCTTTGTGATCATTTTGAATTTAAAATCTATTTTGTCTGATATGTCTAATCCTTACAAATCTATTTAAGTTGCCATTTCCATGTAATATCTCTCTCTATCCCCTCTTCCGTTTATATGTTTTTAAATTTAAGTGTTTATGTATGTCCTTCAATTTAAAGTCTATGTATGTCCATATGAGTTTGTGTATGTCTTTAAGTTTAAGGTTAGTTTCTGATAAATAAGGAGATGACTCTTGTTGTTAAATCCCTGTAGGCCATTCTGTCACATCCTAGAGACAGATGTCATATCCAGTGGGAGATGTCATATCCTACAGGGAGTTAGATTTACTACTATTAAATTTACTGTTGTGGTGACAAATGAAATTCACTCCTCTTCCCTCTGAAATACTTACTTATTAAATATAGTCAGCATTAATATATTTGCATATCATTGTTTATTTGATGCTTTAATGAAACAAGCACTGTTATTAATGTTTTGTACCTAATAACCAAAAACTCAGTTCACCAAGACACTGTGGCTGTTGTTACTTTACAGATAAAGAGATCTGAGGCACACTGGGCAAACTTCGTTCCAACTTGTTTTCCACTAAATGGCACCATCAACTCTTAACCTGTGCTGTCCAGCTGCCAAAGAAGTCTTTCAGTCATGGTGCCACATGAAGAAAGCAAGTTAGTGTTGCTCTTCTAGTACTCAACATCTGTATTGACAGATGTCTATGGCCATTTTTCAGTGGTTTATCTCGTATATAATTGTGACTGTGGCACTTTTATAATTCTGTGTATAAATTAGTTTTATGGGCTAAAAGTGAATATGAATAAATACTCTGAATAAATACTAAAATGCAAGTAAGATAATAACCGTATAATTCTTTTTAAAAAATGGTTTGTTTATTTATTTATTTGAAAGGCAGAGTTACAGAGAGGGAGAGAGAGATTTTCCGCCTTCTGGTCCACTCCAAAAATGGCCACAACAGCTAGGGTTGGGCTAGGCCAAATACAGGAGCTAGGAACCCTGTCTGTGTGCAGGGGCCCAAACACTCAGGCCATCTTCTGCTCCATTATAGCTAAATTAGCAGGAAGCTGGATCTGCAGCAGAGCAGTTGAATTTGAACTAGCACTCATATGGGATGTAGCCATCGCGGGTGGTGGCTCAACCCACTATACCACAACAATGGCCACTTAATAAGTTATTCATCGACAGCCTCTGCCTTCAATGCTGGCATCCCATATGGGCACCGGTTCATGTCCCAGTTGCTCTTCTTCCAACCCACCTCTCTGCTATGGCCTGGGAAAGCAGTGAAGGACAGACCAAGTGCCTGGCCCCTTGCACCTATGAAGGGTACCCAGAAGAAGCTCCTGGCTCCTAGCTTCGGATTGGCCTAGCTTCAGCCATTGCAGCCATTTGGGGAGTGAACCAGTGGATGGAAGACCTTTATCTCTGTCTCTGTCTCTCTCTGTCTATAACTCTACCTCCCAGATAAATAAATACAATCTTTAAATTACATGAAAAGGCATTGGGGATTGGTGTACACTTCAAGACCTCAATTCTCTCTACCATCTCAGCCCTTGCCATTATTCCTAAATCTCAAGGGGACCCAGATTATTTTCTATGAAGATGATTTTCTTTTGCAACATGAACACATACCTGACTTCCTGACAGACTGCTTCCCTTAGAGATAACCTCTCAGAATAAAATAGAAAATAATTACAGGACTCTTTGTAATGCTAAGATGGTGGATTCCCTGTAAAGACAGGGACAGCCAGGACCTGAGAGGAAGATGTGTGATTCTGTGACTTCATCTCTAGAAACATCAACAGTGTATGCAAGAGGATCTGGCAGTACGCTTAAAGAATTCATCTCAATACTCAACAACCAGAAACAATTACAACTGTCAGGTAAACAGCTCCAAAACAACCTCGGGAGTTTATGAGAGAGGCTTCTTCATCCCTGTGTGCCCAGGGGCAGCAAGGGTGACCATGAAGGAGGCGGAAAGCCTGAGAATTGAGTTACAAGGGACCGTCTCATGTAAAATATTATGAACTATTTCAATGATGAACAAATTCAGTTTATACCTGTAATGTAGGAAATGTTTACTATTAGGAAAATCAAAAGGCAGTTCATAACAGGTATAGAAATCATGAGAAAAATAGGCAGTTTTTGTTCATAATTCCAAAATAGTTGGAGTATTCAACAGGAATTAACATTACATAAAAGACAATGAATAAGGTACTTTTTTACTATCTTTGTAGAGAGGACTTCTGGATTGGGAGATATGGGGCTGGGACTTGAACCCAGGTATCAAAAATAGGGAATACAGGCATCTATCAGTGCACCAAATGCCTACCATCCCTTGAAAATTTTAGAAACAACAAAATTCCACTATATAAACTGGATGCATGACTTTCAGTTATAATCAACTTCTTTATCTACTGCTTATCAAAAGCTCCACAACTCATTTCTTTTCTTGAGATAATGGAAAACCATGTTTAAAGTTTATTCTTGGCAACACAACCAGTTAGCAGTATTGCATGATACAGAATAATCTAGCTTGTAGAGGTCTCAAAATCAATCTCAGAAACCATATATTTTAATGATGTGCTGATACATCCTGTATTTATCTATTTGCCAGTTCAGTACATTCTGCTTCTGTTAAGCGCAAACTATTTATTTTAAATAATTTATTTTTGAAAGGTAGAGAGACAGAGAGACAGTGACAGACAAAGATGTTCCACCTGCTGGTTCACTCTTCAAATGCCCACAACAGGTAGGGCTGAGCCAGGCTGAAGCCAAGAGCCAGGAACTCCACCTGGGTCTCCCATGTGGGTGGCAGATCCAAAACTTGAGCCGTCACTGCTGCCTCCAAGGGTGTGCATTAGCAGAAAGCTGGAATAAGCAGCGGAGCCAGAATCAAATCCAGGTACTCTGGATATGGAATGCACGAGTCCCAAAAGGATTTTAAGTGCTGCACCAAATGCTGCCATCCAAGCCTATTTTACATATGCTCATTTTCCTACCCAAATGTGATTTTTTTTTTTTTGATAGGCAGAGTAGATAGTGAGAGAGAGAGACAGAGAGAAAGGTCTTCCTTTGCCGTTGGTTCACCCTCCAATGGCCGCCACGGCTGGTGCGCTGCAGCCGGCGCACCACACTGATCCGAAGGCAGGAGCCAGGTGCTTCTCCTGGTCTCCCATGGGGTGCAGGGCCCAAGCACTTGGACCATCCTCCACTGCCTTCCCGGGCCACAGCAGAGAGGTGGCCTGGAAGAGGGGCAACCGGGAAAGAATCCAGCGCCCTGACCGGGACTAGAACCCAGTGTGCCTGCGCCGCGAGGTGGAGGTGGAGGATTAGCCTATTGAGCCGCGGCGCCAGCCCCAAATGTGATTTTATTTCAACTGATTACCACTTCCTAATGGGATATGAGAGAGCATGCTTAATAGTTGATGTGATTGCACAGGAACTGCCATAAAATGACTGCAGATAGAAATAAGTTTATTTAAAATTATAACCTGCTTTACCTCAGGGTTCATATGAAAGAGAACCTGCCTATCATGTCTACCAAATATCCATAGAAATAACAGAAAACGTCTTCTGAGGACTGTTTTGCAAGCTTTGTTATCTGCACCTGACACAACATTCACAAAGAAAAGAAAGTTCAAACACATGAAATGTTTAAATAAGTGATATTTTTCTAATTACTTTTAGCATGCATATAAAGTAAATGTGAAATTACATTAAATTTATAAATTATTGAGGAAACTATTATGATCATGGTTATCTCAAAGCTATTTGAGGTTAATGTAAGTGTGGGATAGAAAAACAAAGGTAAGTAAATCTTTAAAGAACAAGTGTAAGGAAGAACTAAGGAATTTTTGTTGTCAAAGGACAGAATTTAACAATTTAAAGATATTTATTGCCTTTATTTTTTAGTCTAGATTCAGGCAACAATTCCTTTTGTTAAAACAGAATTGGTAAGCCGGCGCCGCGGCTCACTAGGCTAATCCTCCGCCTTGCGGCGCCGGCACACCGGGTTCTTGTCCCGGTTGCCCCTCTTCCAGGCCAGCTCTCTGCTGTGGCCAGGGAGTGCAGTGGAGGATGGCCCAAGTGCTTGGGCCCTGCACCCCATGGGAGACCAGGAGAAGTACCTGGCTCCTGCCTTCGGATCAGCGTGGTGCGCCGGCTGCAGTGTGCCGGCCACGGTGGCCATTGGAGGGTGAACCAACGGCAAAGGAAGACCTTTCTCTCTGTCTCTCTCTCTCACTATCCACTCTGCCTGTCAAAAATTTAAAAAAAAAAAAAACAACAGAATTGGTGAGGGCTGGCACTGTGGCATAGTGGGTAAAGCTGCCACCTGCAGTGCCAAAATCCCATATGGGCATCAGAGTCCTGGCTGCTCCACTTTTTTTTTTTTTTTTTAAAGATTTATTTATTTACTTGAAAGTCAGAGTTACACAGAGAAGGAGAGGCAGAGAGGTCTTACATCTGCTGGTTCACTCCCCAGATGGCCACATTGGCCAGAGCTGCACCCATCTGAAGCCAGGAGCCAGGAGCTTCTTCTGGGTCTCCCACATGGGTGCAGGGATCCAAGCACTTGGGCCATCTTCTACTGCTTTCCCAGGCCATAGCAGAGAGCCAGATTGGAAGTGGAGCAGCCAAGTCTCAAACCGGTGCCCATATGGGATGCCGGCACTGCAGGCAGTGGCTTTACCTGCTATGCCACAACACCAACCCCTGCCCCACATCTGATCCAGCTCTCTGCTATGGCCTGGGAAAGCAGTAGAACATGGCCCAAGTGCTTGGAACCCTGCACCCACATGAGATACCCAGAAGCAGCTCCTGGTTCCTGGCTTCGGATTGGCGCAGCTTTGGACATTACAGCCATTTGGGGAGTGAACCAGTGGATAGAAGACTTCTCTCTCTCTCTGCTTCTACCTTTCTGTAACCCTGACTTTCAAATAAATAAATAAATCTTTAAAAAATGAATTAGAAGTAATCTGATGATAACCGATTAGTTATTTTTCTATTGTTTCCTTACCTTGCACAGAAAGTGACATTGAAAAAAACCAACCTACTTTTTCTTCTTTCATCTGAACCTCTCTTTTGCTCAGCCTATCATAATACCAGTTCTTTTTAAAAGGTTACACAGAAAAAGGAGAGGCAGAGAGAGGTCTTCCATCTGCTGGTTCACTCCCGATGGCCGCAATGGCCAGAGCTGAGCCGATCTGAAGCCAGGAGTCAGGAGCTTCTTCCTGGTCTCCCACGTGAGTGCAGGGCCCAAGGACTTGGGCCATCTTCCACTGCTTCCCCAGGCCATAGCAGAGAGCTGGATTGGAAGAGGAGCAGCCGAGACTAGAACCAGTGCCCATATGGGATGCTGGCACTGCATGCCAGGGCTTTAACCTGTTGTGCCACAGCGGCAGCCCCTCTAATTCTTTTTTATTTTTTTAAGAAAAAAAAAGATTTATTTGGAAGACAGAGTTAGAGAGGTCGAAACAGAAAGAGAGAGATCTTCCATCTGCTGGTTCACTCCCCAGATGGCCACAACTACTGGAGCTGAGCGGATCCGAAGCAAGGAACCAGCAGCCAGGAGCTTCTTCCCACATGGGTGCAGGAGGTCAAGGACTTGGATCATCCTCCACTGCTTTCTCAGGCGTAACAGCAGGCAGCTGGATCAGAAGTGGAGCAGCCCGGCATTGAACTGATGCCCTGGGCTTTAACCCACTGGGCTGCGCCACAGCACCGGCCCCTCCAGTTACTTCTTGAAGTATTAAAAGATTAAAGGATCTAAGGATTAAAGGCAGAGGAAACTTTATTATCACAGCCGTTTGGCTGTAACCTCTCACTTCTCCTGGTTCCTGGGAGATAAACAGCTTAGTTTTAGGCTGGTGACCTGGACCTCTAGCAGGAATGATGCTTTGTGACTTGTGACCCAGTGCAGGAGCTCTGTCCAAAACAATGACCTCCGATAATTTCTAATTAACAACATCTATTTTGAAAACCTTACTCTCTTTGTTTAAATTAACCTTTTTTTAAAGATTTATTTAGTTATTTGAAATGCAGAGTTACAAAGAGGTAGAGCAGAGAGAGAGGTCTTCCATCCGCTGGTTCACTCCCCAGATGGCTGCAACGGCCAAGCTGAGCCGATCTGAAGCCCAGGAACCAGGAGCTTCTTTCAGGTCTCTCATGCGGGTGCAGAGTCCCAAGGACGTGGGCCATCTTCCACTGCTCTCCCAGGCCATAGCAGAGAGCTGGATTGGAAGTGGAGCAGCTGGGACTCGAACCGGCGTCCATATGGGATGACAGCACTGCAGGCAGTGGCCTTGTCCACTACTCCTCAGTGCCGGCCCCTAAGTTAACTCGTGGTGACCCAACTTACCACTGGCCTTACCCTTCTCCAGGTGCGGTCCCTATGAAAGTCTGGGGAACTGGGCACAGGGTTGACTCCCTCCCAAGTGGATGGATACGACATGGAAAGGATTTCTATTCTGCCTGGCGCATTCTGCAGACACAACACGGATTTTACATTTTAGTTTGCATCCGCTTCTCACACAATTGCAAGGGTTTATTAAATTCCTTAATTTTTTAAAAATTTGAGGCGGGGAGACAGAGGCACAGAGTTCCCACCTGCTGGTTCACCGCCCAAATGCTCACAATGGCAGGCCAGAGCCGAGGCCGAGCCAAGGAGCCAGGAACTCCTTCTGGGTCTTTCACGTGCGTGGCAGGGACCCAGGGTGCACCTTACCCGAAAGCTGGACACCAGAGCTGGAGGCGGGGCTGGAGTCCAGGCCCTCTGATGTGGGAACGGGCTTCCTAACAGGTGTCTGAACCGCTGAGCAAAACGCTCACCTCGCTTAATGTTCCTCGGGAGCCCACCACAAGGCCCACGTAGAGCTTCAGCCTCACTGGGAGGTCTCACTTCTGCAGTTGCGGGCAGCGAGGTGGGCGAGAGCCCAGACCCTGCCCTGCCGCACGTGCGCGCTCAGGGTCTCAATCCGAGCCTAGGTCCTCCCCGCGCCCCGGCCCCGCCCCGCGCCCGGGCTCTGCCGCCCCTGCGCCCCGCCCCGAACCCGCCCTCCCAGCCGCTGTCTCCGCCAGCTTTGGCTCCCTGCGCCCCGCCCCGGACCCGCCCACCCAGCGGCCGTCTCCGCCCAGCTTTGTCTCCTTACGCCCCGCCCCGCGCCCTGCCCTCCCAGCCGCCGTCTCCGCCCAGCTGTCTCCCTACGCCCCGCCCCTAAACGTCAAGGTCCAGCTAGGCCCCGCCCCCACAATCGGTTCCTGCCCACGGCCGACCTCCCGGCTGCGCGCGCAGTTTCCCACAGACCCGGAAGCAGATCGGGTGGAGTGAAGGTCGGCCGGCGGCTCGTGAGTTTCCTTCTCTCTCTTTCTATTAATCCTTGGCTTCGCAGTCCCCCGGCGCCTCCGTGCCAGGGCTGTGGGGGCCGCGGGCTCCCTCAGACCCTAAAATCCTCTCGCTGCTGCCTGTGCTGCGGGCGGCCCTGACGCCGCCGTGAGCGCGGGCGTCCCTCCGGGTCTCGTGGAGAGCCTCCTCAGGCAGGTCCCGCGAGCCGCGCAGACCCTTCTTCCGCCGCCTCTCCACGGCTGGAAGCCCTTTCCTGACCTCTCCGTCCTCCTGGCGTCCGTGGTCGCCCCACTCGCGGGCGGGTGCACGCCCTGCGCGCCCCCCGGGTCCTCGCTCCGCTCCTGTGGGTCTGCGGACCCCGCTCCTTCCCCGACTGCCCGCCCGCCCCTCGGGCCTCCCCCTCGCTGTCGCCTCTTTCCCGGATCCGCTTTGGGGGGACGTCCCTTGGTCCTGTCTGGTGACAACCCTTGTTCCGCCGTGCTCCGAGGTGGGCGTCTTAGGTGTGGGCATAGGGGTCCCGAAAAAGACGTAGCACAACTGGGAGGCACGAGACCAAACCCCAGATAGGGTGGCGACGTAGAGGATGTGTCAGGGATTTGCAGGCAGGGATAGCGAAAGGCGGGCTGCAGAGGTGTGGAGGGCAGCGAAACAGGGCGAGGGGCGCCCGAGGCGGAGGCTCTGAGAGTGGAGAGCAGGATGGGAGATTTAAAACCCCGGCAGCTAAAGCAGCCGTAGTGTCTGCACGAGGAAAGGGAACTGGTGACGGAAAGTAGACGTGGAACGTGACCGAGAAGGGACAAAAGCATCTAACAGGGAGCAGGGACTTGAACACGCAGAGCAGAGGTGGTGCGGAAAGAGGCAGAACTACAAGGGTGTTGGGAACAAAGGAGTGGCAAGAGCTGAAAGTCTGGGGCAGGAGAGGTAGGAGAGGGAGGAAGGAGAAAAAGCCGTGGAGGAGAGGGGCAGGAAGTGAGCAGGAAGCCGGGGGAAGAGCACAGGACAGAAACAAGAGCTGGAGAGACCAAGTGTGACTGAGATCTGTTCAGAATGAGGAAGGAAACAGTGAAGAAAGGGGCGAGTGGGGCTGATTAGATAGGGATGGTTCTGTTGCGTGGACATTTCTTATTTTATAATCTGGCAAATTTAAAACGTCTGTTCCGAGTACGGGGATGAGGGTGAGAGTTGTAGAACTCTTGTCTAAAAGTCCGCTGCAGTTTGTGATTATTAGCATCAGAGTACAGCATCATCTGTGTTACATACTCAGCTCCAGGGCAGTGACTTGGGTCTTCGCGAGTGATTTGCTGTCCCTTTGCCTGAGATGGGCTAGGACGTGGGGCAGTGTATGAGATACTCCAAAACCGATGTTTTTCGAATGCTCAGCAGATTTCTTTACCTCAGTTCACCAAAATGTGCGGGGTGTTCTCCATCAAGCTGCTGTCTGTCAGACACCAACCAAGTATCCTTGAATGTACCCTACTACTCACTCTGCTCGGCGGTCACATCAGATTGAGGGTGAAGTCCCACAGGAGCTGCCCCTGCTTTGGTCTCCAGTCAGAGGCCCTGGATTGGGCCTGTCCCGCTGACCCGTGGGGTGGAAATCAGGGATTCTCTTGACCCCTTCTGTAGGTTTGATTCTTTTTCCTAAGCAGCTCACAGAACTCAAAGAAACATTCTGCTTAGGTTTACTCATTTATTACAAAGGATGTCACAAACATGAGCCTGGAACCAGATGGAGATGCTGTCTTAGCCACTTAACCAAACTCCTGGAAGAGCTGTGGGAGATGGGATGTTTACCCAGTCAGTATAAGTGATAACTGCTTCTTGCATATGCTGTCTGAAGTGCGGTGCAGATCCAGGGGGATCTGATGCTATCCCTCTGTAGACAGGGTCAGAATTAACTTGGGGCACTCTCAGCTGGGAGTATGCTGGAGAACTGGGCAGTGTGGGGGAAAGGCTGCATATACATTTTGGAGACTGGAGGGGAAGTATTGAGTGATGAGTATGTGAGTTGTAAGAAGTTTGGAGCAGGGAAGTGTTTTCTGGCTCAGTGAAGAGATCTCAACCTGGCAACCTGGCACACTCACTTGTCTCTCTACTGAGTACTGACAAGGGGTGTCTGTAACTTTGGAATTGTGTACCGCTTGCTAGCCCCACTCAAAGTCTCATGATATGGCTCCCTTCTCTACATCATCAATTTTTACATCAAGGCAATTATTTTGGTTGGTGTACTGAAATGATAATATTGTCTATTAAACAGACACATATATGAAATAAATATTTTTTACTTCCACTCTTTCATCTTTAAATATACTCTATTAAATACCATTTCTCCCTGTTGTTAACTGCTGTGCTCCATTTAGGAGCTAAAACTTTATCTTCCATTCTTTTTTTAAATAATTATATTTATTTGAGGGGCCAGTGCTGTGGCAGAGCAGATAAAGCCTCCACTTGCAGCACCGGCATCCCATATGGGCACTGGTTCTAGTCTCAGCTGCTCCATTTCTGATCCAGCTCTCTGCTAATGTACCTGAGAAAGCAGCAGAAGATGGCCCAAGTCTTGGGCTCCTACACTTATGTGGGAGACTCAAAAGAAGCTCCTGGCTTCTGGCTTCAGCCTGGCCCAGTCCCTGCCATTGTAGCCATTTGAGGAGTGAATTGGGGAATGAACCAGCAGATAGATGATCTCTCTGTGTCTCCCTCTCCTCTTCCTCTCTTCTCTCTCTCTGTAACTCTTCCTTTCAAATCGATCAGTCAATCTTAATAATAATAATAATATATTTATTTGAAAGGCAGAGAGAGAAGAACTCTAATCCTCTGGTTCACTGTCCAAGTGCCCACATTACATGAGACTGACCAGACTGAGGCCAGGGACCTAACTCTTGAGCCATCATCTACTGTCTCCCAAAGTGTGCATTAGCAGTAAGCTGAAACTGGAGCAGAGCCAGGACTCGAGCCCAGGTACTGCAATATGTGATGCAAGCTTTCCAAGAAACAACTTAATCGCTGTACCACATGCCCGTTCATTTGTGTTCAAATCTTGCCTTCAGCTCTCCCTTAAATTGAGCTTTCACATCTGCCTTCCACTGATACTTCGTCAGAGTTATCAGTGACCTTCCAGTATCTAACTTTAGTATTTAATTTCCTGTTCTCATCTGTTCTTATCCACAGCATATTACACAGTTGAACCCTCTCTTTTCACTTGGTTTTGAGAACATCTCATTAAGCTTTAACACTGTTTGAATTTTCTTGGCTCCTGTCTGATCATTCCACAGTTTCCTCTGTTGGTGGCTCCAGATCCCTGCTCTCTGAATGTGGGAATATGGGAATGTGTCCCTCGGCTGGGTCCTTGAACCTCTCATCTCTGGCTCCTCTTTATTTCTCTCAAGGTTTTCACACTACCCGCGTGTCTCCATTTCCTCCGTAGTCTTCTCCCCTGAACCCAAGAATTCTGTCTGTTGGTCTCAGGTCTCAGCTGGGATGTCTTAACAGTCCTCTCCACCTTCACATATCCACGTAAGACTTCCTGAGCTCCCTTCAAAAAAGTGTTCTCCCTGCAGCCCTCCATGTCTCCACTAGAGGGACCCTGTACTTCCTGTGCTTAGCTGAACATCTCAGCATATATTTAACATAAAGAAGATAAAACTTTTTTTTTTAAGTTTTGTTTATTTTAGAGGCAGAGTAACAGAGAGAGGGGGTCAGACAGAGTATTTTATCTGCTGGTTCACTACCCAAATGTCTTCAACAGCCTGAACTGGACCAGGTGGAAACCAAGATCCCTGATCTCATTCCCAGTCTCCCATGTGGGTGTCAGGGACCCAGGTACTTGATCCATCTTCTGCTGCCTTCCCAGGCACAGTAGCAGGATGCTGGATTAGAAACAGTAGCCAGAACTTGAACTGATGCTCTGATATGGGATGCTAACATTGCAGGGGACTGCTTAACCCACTTTGCTACAAAGCCAACCTAATACTACATTTTAAAATTGTTTTAATTTATAATATAAAAAAGTACATATTTACTTAAATAAGGAAATACATGGTACCTAAAATTCTTTGGAGATGTGGGAGAAAGTGTTAGAAGACCCTGGCTCTTCCTGATCTGCAGTCCCTGTCGACCTCCCCTGTTGGGTCCTCCTCAGGTACCCTGCCTTAGGGCTTGCACCTGGACCGTCCTCTGCCTAGGACTCTGGCCCTCAGGTGCAGGTGAAGACCACGCTTCCTGCTCAGTTCTTTGTTCTGGGGTCAGAGACTTGTACGTGAAGACTTCTACGACCTCTGCCTCCGTTAGCATTCTAGCCGCACCCTCCTCCAACCTGTGGTCCACTTGGCTGCTCTGCATGTTTCCCACTGCTCCTTTCTCACCCATCGTTTGGGTACTGGTGATAACAGGTCCCAAGGGGAAAGCCGAACAAGAAAATGGGATGTGTTCTGGACCTGCCCTTTGAGTGGTGCCCAGTAGAGTGCTGAGGCGTTTGGTGCCCTCTAATAGTATTCCCAATAACAGTCTGGGGCCCAGCCTTGAGAATATTTAAAGTTGATGATGTTCTGAGTCTAGCGTTGGGCACCAAGGCTCTGTGTCCTCCATTTCTGAGGGCTGAGATCAGCCTGGAATCCGCAGAGGGGTGAAGGGGCTGTGCTGCGCCTGAGGTTTTGGTAGGACGGGTCTGTGCCCTGGAGGGACCTCAGTCCAGCCCAGGCCTTCAGGGCTGCAGCGCATGTGTGGGGTTGACCTGGAGAGAAACAGACTCCGCAGAAAGGGGGTCCATACCTTGCTTCTTGGTCTTCCTGTATTCCCAGTGGTGCAGTAGGCATCAGACGGCCACCTTTCCTTGTGGCGAGGGCTTTACTGTGTGTGGTGATGGCACAGGAAAGGACTGTGTTGATTCCAAGGATAAAACAGCATATTTTCCATATTCAGGATTGACTCCTAGAGACTCATGTTACCTGAGGAAGAAGCCCCGAAGAGGAGGAAGAGGGAAGACAAAGTGTCACAAATGGCTCTTACTCAGGTAACGCCGATACTCCTGTTGGTCCATGTCCCCTTCCTTTCTTAAACGCCAGGCCTTGGGGTCGGTGATCTTCCGTGACTCTAAAGTCTCCCGCCTGACCCTTTGCTCACACCCTGTGTCCCTCAGTCCCTTTTGTCTCTTCTTAAATTCCTTCTCACTGTGACCCTGTGATGTGGAAACGTGAAGAGGCTGCCATGTGCATGGTCCTGGGAGGGCCTTCACACCCAGGTGTGCATTGGAGAGGAGAAGGTAGTGGACCCTATGTTGTCCATGCAGCTGGACACCAGGGATTATTTAGGGACCACATCTGGTTCCCCTGTGAGCTCTCCGTAGACCTGGGTAAAGGGAGCTGCTGTTGAATGTCACACTAATTAACATGTACAAAGGCCTGCCACATTCTGAAAGGGAGGGAACTAAGGGAAAACGTTTTGTGCCTGATTGTGTAATACTTTAGAAGTTGAACTGGTCAGTCATTGTGTCCCTGACTCCGAACTCTTCACTGTTGGGAAATGGAATGCAAAGTTAGACACAGGTGTCAGTGGAGGGCATTTCGTTCTCACGGAAACTGGTATTCCTGCAGGGGCTTTTCTGTAGCAAATTTGTTAAGTAAAAATGGTTGTCATTCTGCTTAGATATAGGAGCAGAACTTTGTCATTAGAAGGAATGGAACCATATTCTTGGTTCATCTGTTATTATTAAATGTTTTTCTCATTCTAAGCATCACATAATGTACATATTTGTTTTATAAAAGAACTACAGATAGTCACGAAGCTTTGGCACTGAGACAGAAAAGATCTCCTTCCCTGTCACTGTCACATCAATGGGTCCTCTGTTGTCACTTCTGTGTCAGAGGACAGCACAAGTCTTGTACAAATGTATTTGCACATCATTTAGAAAAGATTCTTTAGTGAATGTTTTGTTCTGGTATTTTATCTTGCAACTTTGGAGAATTTACATGTTTTTTTGTTAGGAAACATGAGTAGCCTACTGTTTCACATCTTTGTTGGTGTATTCTATAAATGAAGACTCGTGGTTCTTAAACATTTTTCAGTGTTAGGAAAAAAATGTGTGTAGGGCCCAGAGCTATGGTATAGTGGGTAAAGTCACTGCCTGCTGTGCTGACATCCCATATCGGCACTGATTCCAATCCTGGCTGCTCTTCTTCTGATCCAGCTCTCAGCTATGATCTGGGAAAGCAGTAGAAGATGGCTCAAGTCCTTGGGTCCCTACACCTGCATGGGAGACCCGGAAGAAGCTCCTGGCTCCTAGCTTTTGATTTGGCCAGCTCCAGCTGTTGCTACCATTTGGGAAGTTAGACAGCTGATGGAAGATCTCTCTCTGCCTCTGCCTCTCTGTAGCTCTGCTTTCCAAATAAATAAATCTTTTTAAAAAAGAAAGAAAGAGAAAATTTGTATAAGGCCACAGTGTGTGCCTTTGAGCCTGCCAAATTCACTGCTGATATCTGAGGGTTACTTCAGGTTTGGACAGTCAGAAGAGTACTTCTTTTAGGGTTTTTGATTTCCAATTTTGTTAGTTCTGGCAAGTTTCTGCCCCTCTCTCACCAAAAGCATATGACATTTCCCTTTCATCAGACAGAACTTGCTACTGTGTTCTTATATTTTGAGAATTTGGAGAAAATGACACCCATTTGTATTTCTATTGTCTAATTCCTTGTCAGTTTGAATAATTTTATTACTTTGTGGGTGTCTATATATAAAACAGATTTTCATGTATTGCTTAATTTTCTTTTTATGTGTTTTAGATGCTAGTTTGTAGTCTTGTCATTTTTAGGTTATATATTGTTGTTTGCCTGTTAGCTTGTTAGTCTAGCTTTGTAAGCCCTCACTGAGTGCTTGCTTACAAAACACTGTTTCATTTAGATTAAATATTTTGCTTACTGTTTTGTATGTGTCTCTTATTTGCATTGATGTACATGTTATTAGTCATTTATTTGATTCATTTTAAAGTTTCAGGTAATACACACAAGAGATTCATATGTAATATGTGAAGCCCTTCTATTTTCTTTTTCTTTTCCTTTCCATAGTTGTCCTTGAGACAACCTTTTCTCTTTTTGTTTGTTTAAAAGATTTTATTTATTTACTAATTTGAGAGGTAGTTACAGACAGAGGGAGAGACAGAGAAAAGGTCTTCCATCTGCTGGCTCACTCCTCAAATGGCTGCAAAGGCTGGAGCTGAGCTGACCCAGAGCCAGGAGCCAGGAGCTTCTTCCAGGTCTCCCACGCAGGGGCAGGGACCCAAACACTTGGACCATCTGCTGCTGCTTTCCCAGGCCATAGCATGGAGCTGGATTGGAAGTGGAGCAGCCAGGATTAGAATCGGTGCCCATATGGGATGCCGGCACCACAGGCATAGGCTTAGCCCACCACGCCACAATGCCAGTCCCCTTTTGCTGTTTTTTTTTTTTCAAATCCTTTGATGCACAGAAGTTTTCAGTTGGAGGTAGTGCCTTTTTTTTTTTTTTTTTTTTGCTTTTCTCATGCTTTCTTTAATGCCGAATACAAGAAATCATTACTAAATGCCAGTGTTCTGAAATTTCCTTCTATTTCTACTTTGTTGTGTGTTTTGTAAAGGTAGGGTTTCAATTTTGTCAAATATATTTTCTCAACCAGTGGAGATGATTGTGTAGTTTTTGTCTTTCACTCTATCACTGTGAAGTACATTTGACTTTTCTGTGTTGAACCGGTCACAGTATTTCATCCTATTAATATGTGCTGTAAAGTTTGGTTTGCTAGCATTTTGTTGAGGAATTTCTCATCAATATTTATCAAAGAAAATGGTCTGTAGTTTTGTTGTTTCTTTGCCTGAGTTCGGGATAACAATAATGATGTTTCCATAGAATGATGTTTTTAGTGTTCCTCTTCTTCAATTTGTTGGGAGATTTTTGAGGAGGACTAGTGATAGTTCTTTAAATGTTGGATGTAATTATGCAGTGAAACTGCCAGTTCTTGTTCTTTTTGGTAGGGCTTTTTTTTTTATTACTGTTTCAGTCTTGCTACTTAACATATTTGCAGATTTTTATCCTTCCTTGATTCAGTCATGGAAATTTTTGTAATGCTCTAGATGTATCTATTTCTTCAAGATTATTTGATTTTTTGGCATATACTTGATTGTATTTGGCCATTCTAGTATGTTTTCTTTCTGTGATAGAAATTTTATTTTAATTTTTTTTCTTTTTTATACTTTTCTTTGACCCTTTGATTGATCAAGAATGAGTTGAGTTGTGGGATGTTTTGTTGTTCTTATTTATTTGAAAGACAGTGACACAGAGAGGGAAGGAGAGAGATCTTCCATCTACTGGTTCACTCCCCAAATGTGCATAATAGCCAGGACTGGGCCAGGCTAATGTCAGGAGCCTGGAGCTCCAGCCAGGTCTCCAAGTTGGATGGATGGCAGGGACTCAAGAGCCTCTTGCCTCTTGAGCCGTCATCTGCTACCTCCCAGGATCAACCTAGTAGGAAGCTGAATCGGAAGTAGCACTCCGACTGGATGCAGACTCCCGAGAGGCAGCTTACCTGGCAGCACCACAATGCCTGCCCCTTGGAGTTTGAGGTTATTGTTGTTTAATGTTGCTTATTTAGTTGAGAGACAGTTCTCATCTACTGTTTCATTCCCCATATGGCAACAATAGCTGGGCCTGGGCCAGGCCAAAGATGGGAGCTGGGAATGCAACCTACCTAGGTCTTCCAGATGGGTGACAGGAACTCAGTTACTGGAGCCTTCACCATGGCCTGCCAAGACCTACATGAGCAGGAAACTGGAATCTGGAGCCAGAACCAGGAATCTAATATGAGATATAGATGTCTTGACCTCTAAGATAAGTGCCTGTTCCCAAGAAAGAGTTTAGTTTTCATGTATTTGTAGATTCTCATTTCTTTTGCGCTGCTGGTTTCTACATTCATTCTATTCTTGATGGAGAAGAAATTTGAGTAATTTCAAGTTTCTTAAAGTTTTTAAGATTTGCTTTGTTATGTAACATGTTCTTTCTTGGAGTTGTTCCACTTATTCTTGAAATGAATGTATTTTCTGCTTCTATTGAATATAATGTTCTGTATAGGTCTGTCAGATCCATTTGTTGAAGTCCTAAGTTGCTTTATTGATCTTCCTATCCATAAGTGAAAATGGAGCCTTGAATTGTCATAGTAATATTGTGTTATCTAATTCTTCCCTTAATTCTGTAATGTTTGTTTTGTATATTGAGGAATTGGATGTTAGATACATATTTATTTATATTGTCATATTTTCCTGGAAAATTGTCTCTCCCTTATATAAACTTCTTTGTCTTTTGAGACAGTTTTTATCTTTTTTTTTAAAGATTTATTTATTTGAAAGGCAGAGTTACAGAGAGGTGGAGACAGAGAAGTCTTCTATCCACTGGTTCACTCCCCAAATGGCTGTAACAACTGGACCTGGGCTGAGCCAAAGCCAAGAGCCAGGAGCCAGGAGCTTCTTCCGGGTCTCCCACATGGGTACAGAGGCCCAAGGACCTAGGCCATCTTCTGCTGCTTTCCCAGGCCATAGCAGAGAGCTGGATCGGAAGTGGAGCAGCCAGGACTTGAAACAGCACTCTTATGGGATACCACCACTGCAGTTGGCAGCTTTACCTGCTACATCACAGTGCCGGCCCCTGAGACAGTTTCTGTCTTAAAAAGCTATTTTGTCCAGGAGAAGGACAGCTACCCTTGCCTCACATTATGTTTCTGTTTGCGTATGGGATCTTTTTGCATTCCACCTTTAGCCTGTGTGTATCCTTAGAAGTAAAATCCTGTATTTGGATCTGTAGACTTCCCTGCATTCAGCCATTGTGGATCTTTTAATTAAGATGTTTAGTTCATTTAAATCCCATTATTCATGAAGAATGAATACTGTTTGTGTTTTTATTTTATTTTATTTAATGAACATAAATTTCCAAAGTACAGCTTATGGATTACAATAGCTTCCCCCCCCATAACTTCCCTCCCACCCACAAAACTCCCCACTCC